TCAGCAGTTTGAATCCACCAGCCAATGCTTGGAAACCCTATGGGGCACTTCTACTCTGTCCTACAGGGTCGCTATGAGTCAGAATGGACTTGACAGCAGCGGGTTTGGTTTTTTTGCTCTCCTCTTATAAGAATTTGTAAACTTTTCATGGGTCTTTATGTTGCTTTGTTTTGTTTTCACAGCAGGTGGGTATGTCAGGATTTGCTCTCCTGGATATACTGAGGAGGAAGAGAGGCTTATCTATAAAGAGGCTAGATGGGTTTGCTCAGGTCACTCAGGGCACTTTCCAGAGCGCTGCACTAGTTTTTACCCTAGGAAAGTCCTCCTGGCAAAATAAATTGCATGGACACTGGCAAGTCCCTGTATACACTTTATATACTTCTTTTGTGAATCTGCGTATCCAACTCCCCAAGCACACACTTGTTTTGAAGATTGGAATGAAATGATTAAAATAGAGAACTGGGTTTTAGAGAAGTGGCTTGCTTTGCTCCATTATAATTATTTTGAATAGCTTGGATATTAAACCGTTCCTGCCGACAAGACTAAACCGAGAGTAATAACTTTGTGAGCCTTAAAGAGATCTAAATCGAGGGAGTAGAGATGAGAATAAAGAAACACAATTGTTCTTTGAAATCCTTGAATTGCTATTCATAAAACTCAAGAGTGAACAGAGAATGGGTAACTTAGAAAGAGGTATTTCTAATGGAGTGACAGGAATATTTATAACCACATTGTGAAGCAGAGGACAGACACACGTTCTACTTATACAGTTGATGGGTTTGCTCTGTGGAAAGTTGCAGTCCAACTACGAAATTTCACTTCTTTTTTTTTTATCCCAGGGGGCAGGAGGTGTCTTCCTTCCTAAAGTGCCTCTATTTACACTTGTGTCTGGTCAGTGAAACCCAGTTATCAGACCACCTGTGGTAGAAGACAATCTGTCAGAAAACCACTTTTCTCAGGTGCCCTGCAGAGGCCTGATTAAACAGGTGCCACTGGAGTTGTGAACAGAGTAGGGCTGGATGCTGGATGACTTTGTAGGTTCAAGGCCTGTGCTAATGAGGTCAAGCTCACAGGTTGTCTCCCTCTGTGGCCTACTCAGATCCACTATGTTTTCAACCTGGCCATAGCCTGCACCCTTGTCAGCAACACCACAGGGCTATTCATTCAGCTATTTGCCAAGTATGTATGGTGCAGCAACAACATTCAAGGGACTCTGAAAATGTGGCATGTTACTCCACACTCCTCATGACAGAAATGTGACTCATGCTCATGACTTCTGATGGCACCATCTTTGGTTCCTGGAATGGCTTTTGGCAAATTGAGTTGTATGTGACCTTTTACCTCTTCCTGCCTTAACATGGCCCTCTTTCACCTCTCATTACTTCTTTCTTAACCTCAAGGTGTTCAATCTGTTCATGCTGCCTTGCCACCTGACTTTCTGGCCTCTTTGCTGTGTCACTAGTCCCAGGTCTAAAAATAAACGCCCTATATCCTCTTCCATCCCTCCTTGCCCCACTCTTGGTTTGTTTTGCTAAGAATAGCAATCCAATTTAAAAAATTGTACCAACTAGTTGGACTCTACTAGTGATCTAATGCTCTCTAGATGTAAAGCTCCCATGCCTTGACTTATGAGAATGGATTTCTACTGGTGAAAGTTTAGTATGGGAAAACATTTGGGGGCAAGTGGGCTTTCATGGATCCCTGGTATCATATCCTTTGTCTATTTTATGGAAAAATTCCCTCAGGTCTTTTGAGATTCCTTATGCTCTTACCTTGTACTGTGGGTACTGAGGGGAAAAAAATAATAAAGGGGATAACATTTAGAAATCATTTCCCCATGATTGCATTTCTGTTCTCTGGCTATTGACTACCTTATAACTAAATACTCCCTCTCTGCTACCTAAAGCAAGGGAACAGAAGAAAAGGGACCATAAATCTATTAAATCAAATACATGTTGGTCAGACAATACTTAAAAGGAAATTTTTCTCAGTGTACTCTCAAGGTCTGTGTGATAAAGCTAATTGTAACGGCAGTTAAATGTCTTAAACTGCCATAGAGCTTGATTGTTGTGACTCAGGAGCAGATATTTTGATTATCTGCAATACCAACCATGCTTTGTCACTAATGGGCCAAAGCAACCTACTAACACTGTAAAGGTGTAGATTATGTAACAGATCATTTAGAGATGGTAACTAAGGGGATTTAGGGAGCAAATTGAAAAAGAAAATTCAAACTATTTTTTCTATCAGGTAGAAGATTATTGAAGTTGAGGCTACTTTGCCAAGCTGAATTTGTTAATTCAAAAACACTTGCTGTGCATCCTAGGGTTAAGGAAAAACAACAAAAAAGTAGTATTTCAGAGTCTTTATTATCACGTTTTATATGTTTCTATTAATCAACTTTTAAAATGAAGCTATAAGAAAATATATATTTTCTATAAAATATTTATATTATTACCTCCGAGTTGTGCTAATGCATGAGAAAAGTATCACAGATAATTCATAAAAAAGAATAATGTAAAATTCATTTAAAAATGATAAAACATTTGATACTAAAATTGCATTTATTCCAGAGGTATGTCACTAGTAAATTCCCATAACCCAGAAAGTTCAACTAATGAGGATTTCCCTCGTTCTTGACAGTTATTAGAGTGATAAATGACAGGTAGATAAGCTAATGCCAGGGAATAAATAAAAAATACCCCCAGAGCTATGGAGTGATCAGTACATATTTAGTCCAATCCACTTTACCTTCTTGGCTTTAATGGTGCACAAAGGTAATCAAAATCCATAGTGATGAATCTGGTGCCCTCTGAATCCTCAAAGAACATTCGAATGGCCGTTAGTATAAATATAAAATAAGTTGTTTGTTTGAGTGTTTCTTTATGATACCTCATATGCTATGACAGGATTTGCAGCACCTTATAATAGACACATATATCCAGCAGGGCAGTGAAAAATCAAGTCAGAAAGAGAGATCAGAAGCCATAGAGCTCAAAAACTTTCCTGGGTCATAGACCCCTGTGAAGATCTCATAAAGAGCTGTGGAAAATCTCCCCAGTAAAGTGTACCTATGCAAATAAGCACAACGTTTTGCCAACAACCTTGAAGCCTATCCAGGCACCCTCCCCCGGGGTACCCTTGAACCTCAGGTCAAGAACTCTTCGCAATACCCCTAAGTAAGAATAGTTATTACACTTGAGCCTTGCATTTAGCCTTGAGCTTCCTGTCAACTGAGGTTAAAACATAAACACACTGGGTTACACAGTTCTCAACGTCTACAATAAAGATCAGATCAGTTCACAACTTTAGTAAGAGAAACGTAATTTTTAAATGGCGATCTTTATACATTTTATGAAAGGATTATTTTATATAGGGTACTCAAGTAATATAAAGGGATATAGCATAATTTGAAGAAATTCTTTGAAAATAAGCAATTTGAGGTGGAATATCTATGCTAATTATATTGACTGCATATTAACTTAGCCACAGTTCCTCATTTCCAACCCTCTGGAAAAGAAGGAATTTACTGTATTTGTCTTTAATGGTAGATTTACCACCAAAATATTATTTGATTAAAGCTGACATTAATATATTCCCATGAGCACACACCAGCTAAGCAGCAAAGGAGGCCTAAGGGTATAAGAAGCAATCGACCTGTGCTTAAATAATCTGCTATTAATAGGTCATTCTATGGAAAACGGCCATGTAGATAATAGCAAATAATCACTTTGGGTGACCACTGCTTTCAACTCAGGCATTTAGTTTCTCAAAGGCAAATAAGTAACATAACGGTTCCTGTCACAATCATAGGCAGAGTCTGTATACAGGGTAGGGGTTAAGAACACAGTCTCTGGAATCAGAGACTATCTCTCTAACACTTATTAGCTATGTGATGTTGGGCGAAGTCACTTACTTCTCTGAGCTCAGTTTCCTTGTCTGTAAAATAACCAGTTGCCATCAAGTCAGTTCCAACTCATGTGTGTCAGATGGGAACTGTGCTCCATAGGGTTTTTTTTTGAATGGTTTCAGTTCTGGGTTAGCAGAGCATCTGATCCATAGGGTTGTCAATGGCTGAGTTTTCAGAAGTAGATTGCCAGGTCTTTTTTCTGAGGCACCTCTGGGTGAACTCGAACCTCTAACCTTTCAGTTAGGAGCCAAGCATATTAACCATCTGCACCCCCCAGGGACTTCTTGTGTAAAATAAGAATAATAAAAGCATCACTCTCCAGGTAGGCGCTAACGTATGTGGGGGTCCCGGGCAAATTTTGTTTTTGTAGGGCTCCTGTCTATACAGGAAGTCCCTGGGTTATGAACAAGATACTTTCCTGACTGTCCTTAAGTGGAATTTGTAGATAAGTTGGAACAGGTGCATAAGGTTCTCATTTAGCCTTACTTTAGCGCAAGAAAACTTTTGAAGCCTTTTTCAGTGATTTAAAAGCTGCATAGGAAGCAAGTGAAGGTGATTGTGATGAAGAATTTATTGCGAGTAGGGGTTGGTTCAATCGTTTCAAAGTGAGGGCAAATTTACATAATATTAAAGGGCTAGTACAAGTTGTCTCTAAGTTGGACTTTTGTAATCTGGGGACTTACTGTATAAACAATTTGAGTCACCTAAAATCAACACGTCAGCATTATTCTGGCAGTCCAATCTCACACAATCCTGTGAAGAAAATACCAGATGGCCACCCTCCTGGAATTGGGACTTGGTGCAGGACAATCCCTTGGGCATGAGTACTGGAGCTCCAAGGAGAAGGCTAGTGTAGAGGATTGGAAAACACCTCAAAGGGCTAGGACAGGGGCCGTGCTGCCCAGATCTAAGGAAGGTATTGGTCTGTCTCATAGGGTCACTGGGAAGATTGAATGAGATAATCTATATAAAGCACTAAGGAAAGCCTGCCTCATAGTAACTCCTCAGTGCATGTTGGCATGATTGCTGCTTTTACCATTATTATCAACAATGCTCACTGCATCTCATGCCTCGTCTGGTTTTCTTTCAGTGGATGGCTGCATTGACTGGTCAGTGGATCTCAAGACATACATGGCTTTGGCAGGTGAACCAGTCCGAGTGAAATGTGCCCTTTTCTACAGTTATATTCGCACCAACTATAGCATGGCCCAGAGCACTGGGCTCAGGCTCATGTGGTACAAAAACAAAGGTGATTTGGAAGAGCCCATCATCTTTTCAGAGGTCAGGATGAGCAAAGAGGAAGATTCAATATGGTTTCACTCAGCTGAGGCACAAGACAGTGGATTCTACACTTGTGTTTTAAGGTGAGTGCCGTGTGAAACTATTGTTCAGTCACAGAGCTGGTAGTCTTTTGACTGGGGCTGGAGTGTGTACAGGTGTGCCTCACCAGCTACAGTGGAAGTGTTCTTGAAAGATCACAGTATACACAGAGCTTCAGTAAATTCAGTTCTAATTATTTATTGGAACCACATAGCAAATTCTTATCAGATTTTTGAAAACTGGCACTCTCATTTACTGTGTGTGATCATTTAGTTTAGAAAGTTTTGTGGTTCATATCTTCCCCTACCCCACCCCTGCCTCTAGGGTCTTATATTAATAATTTCTTTGCATTAGAGCCATTTGGCTCATTGATCTTGATAACTGGCCATGAAAATGACCTAAAATATCATTTAGGCCAAGGTCTCGCCTTTGTTGTTGATGAAAAATAACCTCAGATGGTTCTGGGAGCTGCTGTAAAATCTTTCATAGAATTGGCAATGTGAGTTTGAGTCCATTGTGTCTACATATTCAACGTGGAGCCCTGTAAAGACAGCCATCTTGGGTACTATACTGTGAAAGTATCATAGACACAGTTCCTGCTTGCAAGATGTGTATAATGAAAAGCAATCTGTTTTATCCTTGTTGTTGTTGTTAGCTGTCATCACGTTGGCTCCCGACTCATGGCAACCCCACGTGTTATAGAATAGAACTGCTACATAGGGATCCCCCCTGCCCCCATAGGGTTTTCTTGGCTGTAATCTTTACAGAAGCAGATCACCAGGCCTTTTCTTCTGTGGAGCCACTAGGTGGGTTTGCACTGCCAACCTTTAGGTTAGTCATTTTTTGCAAACCTCTTGCGCCACCCAGACTCCTCAGGATTCTATAATATGTCCTCTCCTCCCCCTCCAGCTCAGTGCTAGAATCTAAGATATAGCATCTCAGATAGAGACTGCATTAGATATTGAAATAGGTAGCTGGGATGACCTTTAAACCATCTTTCGATTCTGCCATTTTGTGAGTCTCTGATGTTGCTCACTAGGGGTCTGTACTCTACTATTTGATTGTAACTTCTTGGAAATGCAGACCCTCCCTATTTTTGTCTTCTGTGGACTTTTTCTGATGCCAAAGCTATGACTCCTCTTCATCAAAAGCCCTTGGAAGCCCCTTGTGAGGCCTCATTGTTCAAAGGCCAGGAGAAGAAGGTGGTATATAAATAGAGAACCTTCTTGATACTTTAAGAATCACTGGGGGGGGTGCAGTTTGTTGGGGGAGCAAATGGTGAGTTTAGTCTCAGTTTGTAGTGGGCAAAATCCCCAGAATCTTGGCAGAAGCAGTAATCATTCTGATCACACCCTTAGTAATAAGCAGTATTTTCTCCTACTTGGGCAGCCCTTGTCAAAATTGGGAAGTGTGTATAATTCAGCTTCAGTGACAATAACACTGTATTCCTAGATTCTCAAGGGTTCTGCTACTCTTCCTCTGCTCACCTTCACTCCATCCTCAACCGTCATTAAAACCTGCCAATCTAAAATATCTCTTCCCCATCCCTATTTGATTTTCAATAAGCCTTTAAATTTTAAAAGTTTTAGAATTACAGAATCATTGCAAGGATAGTACAGAGAGTTCCTGTATACCCCACATCTAGTTTCCCCTATTATTAACATCTTGACATAACTGTGGTACATTTGTTTCAATTAATGAGCCAACAGTGATACATTAATAAAGTAATACTTTATTCAGATTTCCTGTTTTTTTCCATTGTTTCTTCTGTTCCAGGATCCCATCCAGGACACCATATTACATTTAGTTGTCATGTCTCCTTAGGCTCCTCTTAGCTATGCTACTTTCTCAGACCTCACTTGTTTTTGATGACCTTGACAGTTTGAGGAGTACTGGTCAGGTGTTTTCTATCATGTCCCACAATTGGGATTTATCTAATCTTTTTCTGATGATTAGACTGGTGTAATATGTTTTTGGGAGGAAGACCACAGGGGTAAAATACCACGCTTATCACATCTTATTAAGACGACAAAGTATCAGTAGGACTTAGCACTGTTGATGTTGACCTTGATCACCTGACTTGAGTGTTTGTCTTTCTCCACTGTAAAGTTACTCTTTTCTTCTCCCTTTCCATACTGTACTCTTTGGAAGAAAGTTGCTATTCATAGCCTACACTTAAGGAATGGGGAGTTATGCTCCACCTCCTTATGGGTTGAGTATCACAAAGTATTTGAAATTCTTCTGCATGGGAGATTTGTCTGTTCTCCCCATTTTATTTTACTTTTCGGTCATTTATTCATGTCAGTATGGATTTATAGACATTTATTTTATACTTTGAGTTATAATCCAATACTACTTTATTTTGTTGCTCAAATTGTTCTAGCTTTGCCCATTGGGAGCTCTTTCAGTTGGCTCCTGTGTCCCTTTGGCCACACTACCATCATTATGAGGTGTTTTCTTTTTTCTTTCTCTTTCCACTCCGCCTTTCTTTCTTTTAAGCAATTTCTTACTTTCTAGCAATTCAAGATGCTCCAGGCTCATCTTGTATATTTCTAGTCCCATTCCTCAAATGATTTATGTCTCCAAGGAGCTCTGGGTTCCTTTTGTTGGAGAACGGTATTAGAAACCAAGATCTGGGTATGCTCATTGCTACTGGGGTGTCATTGCTTCTAGGCCCTTTCAGCTCAAAGCTTTGCATTAATTTCATGCACAAGTCCACAGATGGTGAGAGAGTACTTTGGGGGTGTTGTAGGACTTCCCAGTGCTCATGAAATCCTTTCCTGTAGATGGTCCTCTTTCAACTACACACAGATTGACCTTGCTTGTATCCATTGTAAATACAATCTGAGTCAGTGGTTCTCAGCTAGTATCTAAAAACCTGTTACCATCGAGTCGATTCCGACTCATAGCGACACTATAAGACAGAGTAGAATTGCCTCATAGGGTTTGCAAGGAGCAGCTGGTGGATTCAAACTGCTGACCTTTTGGTTAGCAGCTGAGCTCTTAACCACTGCACCACCAGGGCTCCCAACTGGTATCTAGATCAGTAGAAAAGAAAGAGACTGACATTCCACTGGGCAGAGGCTTAGATTCTAGCATATTTGGTGACCTCTTTTATTCATACAGCAGGTCCTAAGGAGTGACTGGGACTCATAGGAGTAAGTGGAACTTGTTTGCCTTGGTAAGGAAAAAAAGTTTGGGAGCCACCACTCCAAAGGAAGCAACCAGTCTTTTGTCAGCTCAGAGATATAGAAATCTCTTCCAGATAGAAATAAGTGAAATAGCTAGCATTTGGTTGTGAATAATGAACCTGTTTTTTAGATCTAGTTGTTGCTGCTGACTTCAACTGTGTGCTCAGGGAGAAACTCAATCCATAGAAGTGATTTTGTGCAATTGTCAAGAGACATTCATAGTGAAAAAGGCTCTTAATTTGACAATGTCTGTATTCACCTAAAATCTCCCATTTGATAACTCTTTGAGGTAATCATAGATGGTTTTTCAATGCTTTAATGACCTCATTAAAATTACTCTATTGATTTTAGTGTGCTTTAATATGCAGATATGAAATAACTAGCAATATTCTCCACCTTTTTGAATCATAACAATAAAAGTTTAGTTTGTGATCTTTCAGTAGGCAATTACTCATTTTTGTATTTTTCTTTGGCCAGCATGAAGATTTGTTAGTTGAATTTCTTAGCATGTTAATGGGTTAGTAAAAGAAGAATGGTGGAGGAGTGAGTCATATTTTGAGAGGCAGTGCCAATCTCAGAATTACTGTACCCTGCACCTCCCCACCCTAATCTTTTCAGTGGAGGAATTTAGCAGGATAAAAATGATGAGAGTGATCTTATTTGACAAAATCCCACATATCACATTTTCAACAACTTGGAACAAGGGGTGACTTAGGCTGTGGATGAAGATAGATATATTCATATAATCCTTAATTGAATTCACAGATATTGAAAAGAATGATTAAATGTAATTGAACATCTGCAGAAACCTGCATGCTTCGGGCTAACCATGGTCAAGTGCAGAGAACCAGTTATAGCTTCAAAACCATTATGACCTCTGCAACGAGGTAAACGAACAAAGAACTCCCTTCTTAAATGGGAATATAATTCAACTATGCTTGTTCTTTCATAGTCATTGAAGCAACTGAGATTCTCAAAATCTTAATTTCTCATAAACTCTTTCTAAAACAGCATTCCTTAGTATATTTATCCAGCCCCATGGCATAGGTAGGCTGACATTTGCATTGCTAGTAATCACATTCCAAAGAATATTGTTAGTCCAGAAAAATAACATCAACAGAAAAGCTGAGGGGGCTGGGGTATTTAAAACAAGAAATGTAGAATGTTACTAATTATTGAATCTGTATGATGGGTACATGAGGATGAATTACATTGTTCTATTTTTTGTATATGTTTGAAATATTCTATAGTTCAGAAAAATAAAATTAAGAAGTGTATAATTTTGGAGCCCTGGTGGTGAAGTGGTTAAGAGCTTAGCTGCTAACCAAAAGGTCAGCAGTTTGAATCCACCAGGCGCTCCTTGGAAACCCTATGGGGCAGTTCTACTCTGTCCTGTAGGGTCGCTATGAATCAGAATCGACTAGAAGGCAACGGGTTTGGTTTTTTTTTTTTTTTTTTAAATAATACTTTTGCCTGATTTTAATGGTCCTTAAATTATCCTGATCTATAAATGCCTATGTAGCTATTAATATATAGGCAAGTTTTTTTATATTTCAGTCAACAAACTGAGCATTTACTATGAGATTTGCTTTGTCCCATATTGCAAGAAAACCTGTGTCTTTAGAAAGAAAAGTAATTGTCCTAGTCTACTTCAGACACTAAGAAATAGCTTTTATCACCTTCCACCCTCCCACGCTACTCCCCACCATGGTTACCAAGAACTTTTCAAGGACAGTGAACATTTCTCATAATTCAATTCCAACTTAACTATTGATCCTTGAAAAGTTAAAGTGAAGTGTCAACAAGTCGGTTGCCCGGGTAGCTATTTCTTGGAGAGCAGATAGTTTCTTGTA